AGTCCTTAATTTGTGACACGCGAAAAAGATCATCTGCGTCTTCACTGTTCATTTTTATGTCACTTTGCAACGGTAGTCGCGATAATGCGTCTGCATTATTGTGTTTCTTTGTATTTTTATATTCGATGTTGTATGTAAATCCAGAGAGAAAAATAGCATAACGCTGTAACCTAGTGGCGGTAGTTACAGGAATTGATTTTTCAGGATTAGAAATTGCTGTTAAAGGTTGATGATCAGTAATTAAAGAAAATTTCCTACCGTACAGAAATGTGTTAAATTTCTTCACTCCCCACACTATTCCAAGCGCCTCCTTTTGGATTTGTGCATAGTTCTTTTCGGATTTTGTAAGACTCCTCGATGCGAAAGAAATTGGTCTTTCCGATCCATTCGGCATAACGTGAGATAACACTACCCCAAGTCCGAATGGCGAAGCATCACACGCTAAACGGACTGGTAATTCGGGGTTGTAGTGTGTTAACACTTGGTCTGACGCAATAAGCTCCTTTGTCTATTTGAAGGCCTTTTCACAATCGTCTGTCCAGCGCCATATTCGCTCTTTTTCTAGCAGTTGATTCAATGGTTTAAGTACAGTTGCTGAATTGGGCATAAATCTGTGATAATAATTTATCAGTCCTAAGAATGCACGTACATCCTTGACATTTTTCGGAGTCGGAGTTTCCATTACAGCCTGCACTTTGTCTGAAGTTTTCCTCAGTCCATCTGCACTAATTTCATTCCGCAGCATATGACTTTGTCCTTGAGAAAAGAACATTTCTGCAAGTTTGCCCTTAAACCATAGTTCTGAAGTCTCTGTAACACATTTTTCAAGTTTTGCAGGTGTGTTTCGTCATCAGGGCCCGTTATTATCATGTCGTTCAACATGCATTGTACACTATCAAGTCCATTTAATACCTGATCCATTGTTCTTTGCCGTATAGCTGGGGCTGACGCAATTACGAATAATATCCTATTATAACGATACAGTCCTTTGTGTGTATTGATTGTCATAAATGGTTTTTATTCATCGTCTACCTCCATATGTAAATATGCATTTCGGAGATCAAGTTTCGTGTATTTCTGTCCTCCTGCGAGAGTAGCGAGTATCTCGCTGTCCGAGGAAGCGGGTACTGATCCACATTAAGCATAGGATTCAAAGGTGGTTTTGAAATCTCCACATATACGAATTGTACCATTTGAATTCATAACGGGGACAATTGGTGATGCCCATTCACCTCTGTCGACCTTTGAAATTATTCCTTCCTTTTCAAGCCTTATGAGCTCTCGCTTCACTTGCGGTTTGACTGAAAATGGCACCGGTCTAGCTTTAACGAATTTCGGTGAAGCATTTTCTTTTAACGTGAGATGTGCTTTAATATCTGCAACACACCCTATTCCCTCACGGAATACATTTGAATACTCCTTCAGTAATAAATCGGCCAGCTTTTCATTTGAATTTCTTGACACTGAAATTTTGTTCATCCACTTGAGATTTTTCCATTCTAAATTGATTTTTCTTAACCAATCACGCCCAAACAATGCAGGGCCACCTTTTTGCACTACATACAATTTAAAATTTTCACATTGACCATTATATTTAACTTGCACATTCATATATCCAGTTGGAATTAACAACGCTCATGTCGTTTTCAGGGTGACATTTCCGCTTTCAAGCTTTTCATTTTGAAAATACTTTTCGTAATCCAGAGCAGAAATTACTGACACGGCTGAACCTGTATCCAGCTCCATTTTAACTTCTTTTCTTATCACATTTGGCGTAATCCAAATTGAATTCTGATTGGAATTTGTAACACTGTAAATTCCTAAGTAATCATCCTGATCACTTGTGTATTCCCGTGATTGATGTTCCGAAGAATTAACATTCTTTTGCGCCGGTTTTTGTTTCGGTTTACCGGATGATCTACACGCTTTACGAATATGTCCTTTCTTATTACAGCTTATAACTCAATTGCATCTTTGTTTGCAGTCTCTGCGGCTATACCAATTCCGATAGCTTTTACAAAAGTTAAGTCCGGCACTGTTAACAGTTTCTTGTGTGTCTGTTCATCCTTAAGTCCAACCACAAACTGGTTTCTTAAAGATTCATTTTTAATTTCCCAAATTCACAATACTCGGCAAACTTTCTAAGTCATGATACATATCTATTCACAGTTTCTCCCTGTATTTGATAACGTTTATAAAACCGGAATCTCTCTGCGACAATCAATGATTTCGGGTTTAAATGGTCCTTCAATAACTTTACAATATCGTCATACGATTTAGTTGCGGGTTTATTTGGTAAAGTAAAATTTCTTAGAAGTCCTAAGGTTTTCCCTCCTAACAATGTCAATAAAGCTGGAACCTTCTTTTCATTTTCAAGTGCGTTCACTGCAAAATATTGTTCCAGTCTTTCAACGTACGAACTCCACGTTTCCGTGCTATCATCAAACGGCTCTATTTTCCCTATATATCCTGCCATTGTCTAATTAACCAAGGTAATTTCACAGAAATTTTTTTTTTCGGAAATGTCCTTTGAATTAAAGACGATAAATGGCCATCCTCGTCGCCAAAATGTTGTGTATTTATAACTGCATTTTGGGTTCTTGTATATATAACACAACTACTAAATAAACTTGACTGCTTCTATAACTACATTTTATTAAACTATTTCATAGATACATACATACAAAAGTACGACAGATAGAAACCAGATGAGATTTAATTGCCTTAATTTGTACAATGTCAGACTCTCTGCTGTAGGTTAAAACTGCGTAATATTTATAATCCGGTAATTTATAAAAGAAGATAAAATAATCACAAAAAATGTCAAAACACCATAGATATGAAAAACAAAGGAGTTGGTTCACTAACTCATAATTTTGTCCCTAAAAATCTGATTTTTATTCAAAACGAAAATGTGTTGAAAATTTGAGGAAAACAAAGGGCCGATCGGGCCGATGGTTAATGATGATAAAAAAAAACATTAATTTCAGCTATGAGAGCATACTATAATGACGTTATGTCAATATTCTTTCATTCTCTTTTCATTTTTCATTATTTCATGACGTCATTTAACAATTTCTATGACGTTAGGATGATGTCATGTAAATCAGTGTAGTATGAATTCCATAATTATGTCTATCATATTTGACTTTTGTTTATTATGAAGCACGTTAATCAAGCTGTTTTTGTTTATTTTTTTTTGAGAGGGGGGGGGGGGGGGGGGGTTGATGGTGGGTGTCTGTTGTCTGAAATGTTTCACATTTAGTCATTTTGGGAACCTTTATCATATAACCGTATAACTTACTGGACGATGCAGGTTTTGCTCATTGTTGAAGGCCGTGCGGTGTTTACGGTTTCTTTCCACATATTAAATCATGAGATTAGGTTGAAAAAGTTGAAAATTTCCAAGAAAATGGATGAAAATAGAACCTATTTTAGGCAATATCTATATAAATATGAAGCAGATATACAACCTTTTCTTCGTTTACTTTCAAATATCAGACATTTAACAATACATACACATTAGATTTACTTTGATATTAAAAGTTTTAAAAAAAGCACCTTTACAGGGCCGTTTATTGGGGTTCCTGGCTCTATTCCTTGAAGACCCTGTGAGTTAAAGTAATTGAGAAGTTAGCTCTTACCCTTTGCAATTTAGTATTACAATGCCTTCAACATAAACATATAGCACTGAATAGTATTTTGATTTCAGGGGAATATGTAAAACTTTGACACAATATATTATAACCTCATCTTCCATTTTCAATGTCCCGACCAATTTTAGATTTTGACCCTACGAGTGAAATAAGTCCAGGAAAAATTGGCCTCGTCGCTTTCAAAAACCCCCTCCTCCCCCCTTTTCTAAAAATGGAAGAAAGGGTGCATGCACATGTTTCTCAAACGCCTGTGCTTTTGGCTATTTCTGTTGTTGACCAAAAATCCTGCCAACAATTAAGTTTTGATGCTTTGTTGCTTGAAAAAAACTGGACCAACAAGTTCATGGTTATGAATGATTATTAAAATATCTTTATTGCAATTACGCAAAGTCGAAACCAACAAAACAAACCACCAATTATTCTCAATTAGTCTCAAAACCTAATAAAGACAAAAATCGTAGCAATCATATCACCTATTTTATATTTGATATAAATTAAGTAAGGCGGGAAGTACAATAATGTGCCGAGCATCGTGATAAAATTTTAAAGTAAAGATCATGCATCCTTGTTATTGAGATTGATAAAGGCTTTCCCTTCGTCGATTTAAATACTATTGATCTGATAACCGCTGTGTAAACTTAAGGACCGGGAGTTTTCTTATCAGTTAAGTAGTAACCTCCCTTGTTAATGTGATGGTGTAATCAATCCATATATTTTTGTCATCTTTATATTATATTTCATCGTATAATTCAAATTTGTGATTCATTTAATATTCAAAGATATAATTTTATTTTTTTTATCAAAGATAAAAACAGGGAAAATTGAAAGTCTTTGATTCATTAATCACCTTAGTTCAATTCATAAGTCAGGCGGTATTTTTAGTCTACATTAAGTTGAAAGAACATCGGGGTAATTACAGGGATGAAAACAAACTACGTTGGAATTATATAATATCGATGGCTTTGAAACAAGAAAGGAAAACATTGTATAATATAAAACGAGATATAATTGGAACAAAATACAAAAATTCTTGTTTAGTGAAATCAAAAACGAAAAACGAAAACACTTTTGATTTTCATTTTGGTTTTTGAGAAATAAAAAACGAAAAATGAATACACTTTCGTTTTTCGTTTTTTGTTTTTGATATCTCAAAACTAAAAAAGAATGGACGCAAATATACACGGACCAAGAAATACTTGTGAAGTAGGACGGGTGTATCTTTGTCATTTTTGAAATTTCTTGAGAATCATAATATCACAGTAAAACTATGTCTGACACAGTGCAAGAGAACTCTTTTCGCAATATTTAAAACTTGTAAATTCTATTACATTGCGATGTGAAAAATGCTATAATACATGAAATATGCGTGACAAAATGTAATTAATGTATAAGATTACAACAGTTTTACATGGCATACCATATAAAAAGGACAAACGAAGGAACAAAATTCATAAACTAGCGAAATATCGATACAAGGAATATGGTTTCGTCAACTCTTGTATTGTTGTTACTGTGTGCAAACGTTGGAAAAGCATTGGAGAGTTGTAATCCAGGTAAGAATACAAATATGTAAGATATTAAAGTTTAAAGCACTGTTGTTAACAAGATGTAAGTATTGTGCGTTATTTCTGTCTTATGATACACCCGCTATAAGTATTCAATATACAAGAATTTGACGATCGGTGGGTGTGAAATATATGCTCACATAAAGCTTGATACAAAACAACAGTAAGTTCTAATTTTAGTACCAATGAAAAATGCAACGACATTTTTATAGACGAATAAAAGGAATGACAGGCGGACAAACGAACATAGGAAAACCATTCTGACCCTTCCTTCGTTGTGATGATATAACAACTATCGTGTGCCAGAATAAAATGTCCATTCATACATCCAAGGTTGATACTGTGTGTTGATAGAGATGTCAATGTTTGGCCTGCTCGTTCAAATCAATAAACATTGACTGGAATCCCGTATGACTCGGCTTTTCTCCTGGTATATGTTGAAATCAATCACAGACGAAATACATGCAGTGATGGTGATAGATTGTGTTGAAATCGATCACACTAGTACTTGTAAATTGTGTTGGTCCTTGCAAAAGTCTATATTGGTCATACAGCTCTTCATATGATTCGGTTCTTATACGTCCTTTGCTTTCAAATATTCGGCATTAAGCTTTCTTGATGATGGTAAAACCAGAAAAACTCTTCTGGTTAATGAAATTTATGTAACGTCGTTTTCATATTTTTTTCAATTACGATAAAAAAAATCAAACTAGACGAGGGACATAGCTTGATATGGATTAGTTACTTGTAATTGTTTGAGATTGCATGCTTACTCTGGATGTGGACCCGTTTGTTGGCTTGTGTCTCTACTGTTAACACAAATGATGCCTCGCTTGCATATATCGTTATAAAGGGACATAGCTCAATAACAGTAAAAGTCAGTTTTGTGGTAATAAGTATTATGTATAAGTTTCATCCGCTACGGCGGGGGCATTAAACTATTTACAGTTTCATGTTATGAATCCTTGTTATATTAGCACATACTTCATGACATTCTTTTTGTAACAAATCAGTCAAAAAGATAAAAACAAAAATAAAAACAGATGAAACTAATAATTCATAAATCGTCGTATGTAGCATGTCAAAATTGTGTTTGTTCTTGCTAGTATGTTTATATTGTTTGTCTGGTTCGTTTAAGTAAAATTATGTGTCTGCCTATCGTTTGTAAAAAAAATACTTTTGCTGGCGTGTTCATAATCATATTAAGTCGAATATCATTTGTAAAACTGTTCCAAGGCAATAATGTTTGTAAAATGCTTATGTACATTGTACTTTAGGAAAGACAACATGCGTGACAGAGGACCTTCTGCATATGATTATGAGAGCTGTACCTACTATAAATGATTCCAATTCAAAGACTGGTAAGTCAAGCTTAAAGTTAACACAATATTCTGATAGAAAAAGTTAAAAAAAAAAGTTATTTTCTAATGACAAGATCAACAATAAATGTTATCACACATATTTTATTAGGACCATTTTGTTTTATTGGAACTGAGCTGTGGTATAAAATGATTATGTTAGACAAACATTTTAACCATATATAGATTTAGGAAGATGTGGTATGAGTGCCAATGAGACAACTCTCCATCCAAGTTACAATTTATAAAAGTAAACCATTATAGGTCAAGGTACGGCCTTCAACATGGAGCATTGGCTCACACCGAACAGCAAGCTATAAAGGGCCCCAAAAAAATTACTAGTGTAAAACCATTCAAACGGAAAAACCAACGGTCTAATCTATATAAAAACGAGAAACGAGAAACACGTATGAACTACAGAAACAGACGACTACTACTGTAATCAGATTCTTGACTTAGGACAGGTGCAAACATTTGCAGCGGGATTAAACGTTTTAATGGTACCAAACCTTCTCCCTTTTCTGAAACAATAGTATAACCTCACAACATAGAAAAACACACTATAAAATATCTTTGGGTTAAATAAACCATATTAACGTTTTAACTCATTTTCTTAAATTAGTCATTTTCTACTTTTATCAAAATAAATTAACTCAAACAACAGACGTTCCCCCTAAAATAAATCTCAATGAAACCGAATAAAACGAATGTGCATTAATGCAAAAGGATTATGATAGACATTGTTTTTCAATTGTTAGATCTCGAACGAAGACCAACATTTTTTGCATCGTTAAAAGCACCTCAGCAAACTCTGTCTGATATTAAGGATATTGTGAAGTTTGATGACGCAAAGATTAATATTGGAGGTGGATACGACTCTACAACTGGAATATTTACTGCTCCACGAAATGGAATCTACATATTCTCTTGTACTATTGTGAGTGTTGGTGGCGGTGATGTTCAATTCCAGCTTAACAAGAACAACCATTTCTATACAGGAGGGTATGCCACTAGAACGAATTATGGAGGTCAAACGGTGTACTCTATCGTCGAGCTAAGGACAGGAGATAAAGTGTATATTAAACACAGAACTGGTTCATTACAGAAAGTGTCTGGAAATCACCACTCCACATTTTCCGGTTATCTTTTGTCTAAGTAATAACATTTACTGTTCTCAATATAATAGTAACATTTTCAGTACTAAACATACTATTTTAATTTTGAAATAACACGTACCTAATTATTAAAAATTGATCTATTGATTATCGAATAAAAATTTAACAATGGTTCATGGTTTTGAATTTTAATCTTATAGGGGTTGAAATCTTTTCTACCTTTTAGTGGCATGGACCAGAACTGCAGTAATCAAGTAATTTTTTAGTACTGATACAAAAAATGTCTTTACAGGCTTTATAATTAGGCATATTGTGTATGTTGCAGTGTTTTCTTTTGAAATTTGCGATTTGATTACTTTCATACAAGAATTCAAAAGTGTGAGATATACATTCCACGAGTGCCCTGTTTGAACGAAACAGTTTTCTTAATTTTATTGAAATATATGTTATCATTATGAATGTGACTGTTCACTAATGTGTCATAACAAACAAAATCCACTATCTAAAAATTGAAATTAAGGATACCACTTGCTTTTATTTTGGTCATTTCGTCTGATGTTGTGATGTAAAAGTCGAAAACTCAAAATTAATGTAGCAAGAACTTATTCTAACAAATTGAATTTACTTTAGAATACTTTGTTTCATATTCTAAGCATTCCAGAGCCCCTGAAATTACCCCTGGTATTTGGTGGGGTTCTTGTTGATCAATCTTTCTTTTTCTATGTTTTATTTTGTAAAATGTTTGTCTTTTGGTCATTTTTTGTTTTAGCAATGGCATTGTCAGTTCGTTTTCGAAATCTTAGTTTGATTATCCCTTGGTATCTTCCGCCTTTCTTCTAAGAAAACAGAGCTTTTGACACCAAAACAGGAGATTTAAAGTAAAATAATCTGCAATTTTGTTTAAAGAATAATCATAATCAAATTGGTTTCATCCCATACTTCAAACAAGGTTTCAGGACTAAATATTAAAATGTATTAAAAGCCTCTGGTATGACAATAAAGGATAACTCTTTTCTACAGACATTTACATAACTGCAGATAGTGAAATACCAAAAGGGATCATATTAATGATCTTCTATTTAAAAACTATTAAAGATAAACAGGCTTATAGTTTTGTACATCTGACACACAATTCGTCTACAAAAGACTCATCAGTGGAACTCTTTCAAAAACAAAGTTGAAAAGCATTGAAAACCTAAATGTTTGAAAAGTTGTACCCTGATTAAAGACATGATAGTTTCTGTATATTGTAAGAAATTCATATCTCAAGGTACCCATTAAGGTGAGACATTGTATCTTCGACAAAATTTATTAATTAAAGACTTTCTATTGTTGTAAGTGTTTTTTTCAAATAAAGTATGAACATCCTGTGCACAGACATTTTTTAACGACAAACAAATCATGAGGTCTGTGAAACTTTCTGAAATTTGAGTACTCGTTCGGAAAAACATCTACAAAATGAACAAACAAAATTAAACTCATTTTACGTATTGTTGGCCGTTGTCTAATCGACGTAAAACCCTCAACATTATTACCTAGGACTAGACTATAGCCAAGGAATTTTATACCATAATAAATAGCTCATTTATTACGTGTTCTAATTATGTAAACTGGCAATTAGCTTATCAATTAATTGATAAATTCTATAGAAAAAAGATTACTCAAACTGGGAATCGTAAACAAACACATTTTATAATTATCAAAGGGGTGATAATTAGAACTTACAGATGCCTTTAACCATTCTATGAAGGTCGACACAGGGTGCCAAGAACGCATTTGTTCTTACTTAATTTTATCGTATCAACTTTTTCTGGGAAGAGTCGATTTCTCAACTTTGTTACGAAACTAACAGTCCTGTTGATGAAAATATTTTCTCTGACGATACAGAGATGGTGGAATGACTAAGACACGATTAGCTAAAAGTGGAAGCCTTGGAAAGTTGCTCTTGTTCATAGCTTACCTCTTTTCAAAGGAATTTTAAATCACAATTAAACACAAACATTCGAAAAGTATTCTAATTTTGATTAATAGCTAATTTCCTGGGAGGCGCTCTTGATAAAAAAATCTTTAAAAGGCAACATCATTCTAACAGGAAACCGATTACTCGAGTATCATTTTGATATTCGATACTCGGTACTACAGAGCAATACTTGAATACTCAAGAACTTGTGACATCTCTAATAAATATAGAAGGTGTGCAATGTGCAATGTGAAAAATGAAATCCAATCTTTCAAAACTAACTAGATTATTCTTAATTTAAAATTTGATGTGATAGATGCATAAAATTTTAATGTGATAGTGGAAGGGCATCATACATTTAGTCAGTTGTTAAGCTTCAAGAACAGTTTCCCTGTTATTCACGAGAAGCCCCATCAAGAAGTCTGCTTCAGAGAATAAGAAATAGATTTCTGTCAAAGTTGGTCATGTGTCAGATGCTGGTTGTACTATAACACTTTTAACCTTTTTATCTCAATGACAATGTAAACAAATCTTCTGACATCAGACTCGGACTTCTCTTGAACTGAATTTTAATGTGCGTATTGTTATGCGTTTACTTTTCTACATTGGCTAGAGGTATAGGGGGAGGGTTGAGATCTCATAAACATGTTTAACTCCGCCGCATTTTTGCGCCTGTCCCAAGTCAGAAGCCTCTAGCCTTTGTTAGTCTTGTATTATTTTTAATTTTAGTTTCTTGTGTACAATTTGGAGTTTAGTATGGCGTTCATTATCACTGAACTAGTATATATATTTGTTTAGGGGCCAGCTGAAGGACGCCTCCGGGTGCGGGAATTTCTCGCTGCATTGAAGACCTGTTGGTGACCTTCTGCTGTTGTCTGTTCTATGGTCGGGTTGTTGTCTCTTTGACACATCCCCCATTTCCATTCTCAATTTTAAATATGTCTTAAAAGAAAAACATTTTGAGCTGCTAAAGTGTATGTTGTCTAAATGATGTTTATATATCTATTTGTGTGAAGATGTAATCACACATTTACAGCACTCTTCAACATTTTGATGTTAACCAGAATATCACAATGTAAGATCTTTATTACCATCTTTGACAAAAGTGTGCATTCACTGTCAACAATTATGTAACAATAAATATAATAGAAATCTATTGGAAAATATTACATATATTTATTATTCTGTAACTTCCATGTAGGAAATCAATTATTTGTTCTTTTACTCACAAATAAAAGGATATGTTCTAATTTCCTGACTACAACTGCTCTGGATGTCCAAAAGTTACAATAGCATATGTGCTCATTTCTTTAAATAAACTGTACTGACTTTCAAAAATTTGCCTTGGATACAAAGTTAATGCTTTATAAACACTTTATAACAAATTAAAAAAAAAAGATATGCAAGCAAATTAACGATGTTCATTTATCTTGATTTCCAGAAGAATTTTCACTTCATTTCTATATTACTGAATATCAATCCTAAATAAAGTATCTAAAATAAAACATTATATCTAAATCATTAGAACTTCAAACTGTTACCTTCCAATTAGGTTGAACATTTAAACCAGTTAAATTGAGGATAATATGGAGTCCCACTATTACTTCAACCATGCAATGAATGTAAGTTTAAATGTTAACAAATAATATTACAAACAAAAGTATCAAAAATATAAATCATATCTACAAATATATATGTACACTCAGCAGTTATTCCATACTATCATTGCTTAGTAACACGCTTTCTTGTCTACGATTAATTTACACAAAATAGTACTTATATATATTTAACCAACAGTATACAAAAACTTCAATAAATATTGTTAATCAATATGACAGAAACAAATTCAAAAAGCACAAAAAGATAAAAAAGATATAGTCAGACCTAAATAAATGTAAATGTTTTTAATTAAAAAACATACATAACAACATTGTTATAGTCCATCAAAACACCAGCTATGGCCTACTCGCATGTTGGCCAGAAAATAATTAAGAATAATTTGGGTACTTTTATACAAAAAAAACAAGAATTATTCTTTTGTTATAGAAAAATTCTATTTGATAGTTTGATTGGATGGAAAACTATTATTAGATAATTGAGGTTGATAGCAAAAGTTTCAAACCAACCGACATTATTCCGTTGGTTTATTTAGCTACATTCAATTAAATCAAAAATGTATAGATGATAACCCAATAAAAACATTGAAATTAGAATAGTCAGATATATATATTTTTATCTTTGTAAAGATTTACAATTTTATCTATCACCTGTAAGTCCTCCCATATCTATGGTTAAACTATACAATATAAATCGTTTATAAATGCAACCAGGAGATGCCAATATACAATGTTCTGTTAAGAACTATGAGCAAGTTTGACCTTCTAATGGCCTTGTTTTCTGGTGGTTTGCAAACTAATCTGTTAGTGATGTTATTCAACTTGGTCACTTTTTTCATGCTATTGCATTACTGAAGAGAAAATTGGAGGGAAATTTGAAATTGTACCAATCAGAGAACAAGTAAATCAGAAATTGACCATAAAAAACCAGCCAGTTGAGAAATGTTTTTATCAGCTTAAGGTATTTAGAAGTATAGAAGTTCATCTGTATAAAAGTACATGTATATGGATTAACAGGCAAGATCACAAATAAACAATCACATACGTTTACTGACAATAGATATACTCTGTAAAATATATCAAGAAACCCTTAGAAATCCTTCTTTTGCTTTTAGTACAAAAATTGGTGTCAAAAGACATGTGATTGTAATTATTCTGTATACTACTTTAAACATACTACACACTTCAATCACCATTGAAAACACAACCTTAGCTAGAGTTAAACATTCGTTAAGTGCTGTTCTAAGGTCAAACTTGCTAATATTTCTGAACAGAATTTGTTAACATCTAAACAAATCACACGGAAATTTTGTTATCACAGGGTAGGTTTTTTCGTAGAGGATGTTCTCTGGTAACTTGATTCATTTCTTATGGTTTCTCAAATTATTAAAACTTCTGCATTTGCTGTTATACATGTTAAAATGTAGAAATTAATATTTGTTTTATGAAATAAAAGTTCCTCCTTGCATATTCTCATCTTAACAAAGTCTTGACAAAATAGTGTATCAACCCCTTTGTGAAGGTTATAAATTGATTAATTTTCTTGTTGCTAATGAATCAATTCCTAGAATTAAGCTGCATGTATTAAATAAACTGT